ACTTCCATAGTGATACAGCCTCAGAAACTCAAGGAGGGGTTGCTATGAGTCAGATCTGACTCTATGGCAGTGTGTTTGTTTGTTTTTGTTTAATTTTTATTATCTCCTTACTTCTGGATACTGTAGAATTCTTTTGTTGTTGTTTTTCTAATTGTTGGAGTTGTTGAGTAAAGTGATGATTTTGTTTCTTTCCATTTTTTTTTTTTTTAATGTGTGCATTTATTGCTATAAATTGACCTCTGAGGACAGCTTTCACTGTGTCCCAAAGGTTTTGGTAAGTTGTGTTTTCATTCTTGTTTGTTTCTATAAGGTTTTGTTTTTTTTTTAATCTCACACTTTATTTCTTCTGTTACCTAGTAGTTTTTGTTGTTGTTATATGCTGTTGAGTCAGACCCGACTCATAGCGACCCTTCCTTGGGTTTCCAAGGTGGTATGACTATGGAGGTAGATTGCCCAACCTTCCTTCATTATTCAGTTTCAAATTTTTGTTTTTTCCCCTTTATCTTCCTATTACTGATTTTTAATTTTATAGCATTGTGATCTGAAAAGATGCTCTGTAATATTTCAATGTTTTTTTAAAAATTATTGAGGCTTATTTTGTGTCCTAATTATGGTCTATTCTGGAGAATGATCCATGTGCAGTGGAGAAGAATATGTATTGTGCTTTTGTGGGTGAAATGCTCTGTATATATCTATGAGATCAAGTTGGTTGATTGTGTTGTTGCATTCTGTATCTTTGTTGAGTTTCTCCTAGTTGTTCTGTCCCTCCTTGGAAGTGGGAGTTCTGGTAGCCTAGTGCCTAAGGCATTTGACTGCTAACCAGAAGGTTGGTGGTTAAAATCCACTAGCTACTCCTCAGAAGAAAGGTTGGGCAATCTACTTCTGTAGAGATTCCATCTCAGAAACCCAAGGGAAGGTCGCCATGAGTTAAATACGACTCAACAGCAGTGGGTTTTGGAGGGTTTCTTGAAAGTGGTGTATTAAAGTCTCCTTCTACTATTTTAGAATTGTCTATTTTTCCTTTCAATTCAGTTAATATTTGTATTTTGGGCACTTTCATTGGGTGCATAGATATTTATTATGGTAATATCTTCCTGGTCAATTGACCCCTTTAGCATCACATAGTGTCCTTCTTTGTCTTTTATGCTGTTTTTCACCTTGAAGTCTATTTTGTCAGAAATTAATATTGCCACTCCTGCTCTTTTTTGGTTACCATTAGCTTGGTATATTTTTTTCCACTCCTTAATTTTTAATATGTGTTTATCTTTATGCCTAAAGTGGGTCTCTTGTAGGCCACATATCAATGGGTCTTCTTTTCTTATCCAAACTGCCATTCTCTTTCTCTTGGCTGGTGCATTTAGTCCATTCACATTGAGTGTAATTAGTGATAAGTATGAATTAATTGCTGTTATTCTGTGGTGCTTTTTGCTGTGTTGTTGCTGATTTCCTTGTTCCAAATATTTTTCAGTGACGAGTTCATTTTGTTATCAAGTAGTTTTTCTTTTTTCTTCGTTATTGTTGCTTTTGTGTTCACTCAGCCCCTGTGTTTTTCTTCTTTCTGAGTTTGCTTAGGAGGATTGTTAATTTTCTTTATGGTTACCCTGAAGTAAATTCTTATCTCCCTAAGTATGGAACAGTCTATTCTATAAAGTCATTGTCCTGTTTTTCTCTCCATTTGGAAGTTTTATAATTAGAACTTTTATTCCCTCTGTTTGCTTTGTTGCTGGTGTTGTTTGCAGATTGACTCTCTTATTTCTCTTTGTACATTTTTTATGATCTTATTTTGAGCATCTATTTCTGGTTTGGTTTCTAAGTAGTGGTGTCAACTGTTTTGATTTTAATGTATTGTTCTGTGTTGTGGGTTTTCTATTGGAAAGACTCCCTTCAGCATTTCTTGTAGGGTTGGTCTGGTTTTCATAAATTCCCTTAATTTCTGTTTGTCTGAAAATGTCTTGATTTCACCCTCATATTTCAGAGACAATTTGGCTGGATATATGATTCTTGGTTGGAAGTTCTTTTCCTTCAGTATTTTATATATGCCATCTCACTTCCTTCTGCATGCATAGTTTCTGCTGAGAAATCAGAATTTAGACTTATTGGTTATCCATTGTAGGTGACATTTTCTTTTTTTCTGACCTGCTTCCAAGATTCTTCCTTTGTCTTTGGTTTTGGAGAGTTTGATTATGATATGTCTTGATGACTTTCTGTGGGTATTTATCCTGCATATGGGGTTTGCAGGATATTCTTGGATGAATATCTTTACTTCTTTCATGATATGGGGAATAAATTCTGTTAGCAAGTCTTCTACAATTTTCTCAGTGGTTTTTATTTATTTATTTATTGCCTCCTTTTGTTCTGTTATTCCATCCAGGCTTGTGCTGTTTATTTTCATGTCATCCAATATAAACTCTGAGGTTCTCTTCATTTCTCTTAAATTTTTGTTCTGATTTTTCTTCATACAGCCTGGGAGTTCTGGTGGCATAGTGCCTAAGGCATTTGACTGCTAACTAGAAGGCTGGTGGTTCAAACCACCAGCCACTCCTCAGAGGAAAGGTTGGGCAATCTACTTCTGTAGAGATAATGCCTCAGAAACCCAAGGAGGGGTCACTATGAGTTGGAAAACAGCCTGGTGGCAAGGAATTTGTCTTCCAGTTGGGAAATGTATTCTTCAGCCAGCTCTAGTCTATTCTTTTGTCATTCCACAATGTTGTCTATCTCTGTAATTTTAGTGTTCATCTTCTTGATTTCTAATTGCTGTTTTTGTATGAGTTCTAACTGTGTATTTATCTTTTTTTTTTTGAATGATTTACCTGAATTTTTCCAGAGTACTCTCTTCTCATTTTTTTCTATTTATGATTTCCTTGAACTCTTGGAGAGTCCTATATATATATATACCTTCTTAATTCCTTCTCAGTTAATTCTATTGCTTGTTCTTCTACCATGATAGATAGATAATTCTTTAGCCTGAGCCTGTATTTCTATTGTCTTGTCCTTTTTTGTTTGTTTGTTTGATTTGAGGTTGTTTGTTGTTTCCTAGACATTGTGAAGTTGCTGTCTTTAATTGTTTGTTATGTGTTGATTTGTTTCACCCTGATTTTATGTTTTACTATATCTGAACTTGTGGAGCAGGTATACTCCTTTGGCTATTAACTTGGTTGTACTGGGTCACTCTCCAGCTCTTTCTGTATTGGTGGAATCATTGGTGGGGGTGTGAGTGCAAGGCTGGGTTCACTGTGAAGAGGATTTGGAGTTGAGATGAGCAGGTGCTTTCTACCATCTTTTGTTGATCCTGTGGCACAGGAGTTGTTGTTGTTACCTGTCTACTAGGTGAGGTGTTCAGTATAATAAGGAGCTCTGATAGTGTAGTGCCTAAGGGATTTGACCTCTAACCAGAAGGTTGGTGGTTCAAACCCACTAACCACTTCATGGAAGGAAGAAAGAAGACTGGGCAATCTACTTCTGTAAAGATTTGCCACCTCAGAAACCCAATGTGGGTCACTATGAGTCAGAATCAACTGGATGGCGATGAGTTTGAACAGGTGTTGTCCACCATCTGTTGCTGATTCTGTGGCACAGGAATTATTGGTGCTACCTGTTTTTTTTTTTTTTTGTTCAATGTAATAGCTCCAGTTGCCTAGTGGAGGTTTAATGTGTTCCTCCCATTGGACAAGACAAGGGAGAAAATAAAAAATAAAAATAAAGCACTTAAAGAAAATCCCAGGATAGAAAGGCAGAAGCAGTTTTCTGCATTTGGGGTGAGATAATTCAGTTAGTGATTAGGCACAGGAAGGGTAGCCTAAGTCCTTCTGAATCATTTACTGATGATGATGCCATACTGTCAATCAAAGACCCATAGTTCAAAACTGACCCAAAGGATAAAGGACTGCTACTTTCTGCTTGGATTGGGAAGCCACAAAATCCCCATATCTGAGTCCACTCTATGCCAAAAAGGGTCATCAAGAGTTGAGCTTGAGCCCACTTCTGTGCAACTGCTCTGAGGCTCTGCCTACCGGAACGAGTTGCTTCCTTTTCCCCATTCCTTTCCAGACTCTGTGGCAGTCCAAACCAAGGGTGGTCTTGATCTGTTTCCCAGTAAGATCATCAAACTTACTCAGAACCCCAGCTAACCTCAAAAGACTCCCAGTGTGGGTATTCTGAGTCCCCAAAGCTAGTGGGCTCCAAGATTTTTTTTTTTTTTTTTTCCTTCCCTCCTCCTCAACCTCTTTTGTATTTATAATGACTCTTCTCCGGCTCTGTCTCTGCTGGCGGCACAGTTCATTTATTTTTCTCAGTTGTTTAATCAGCTCTTTTTCTTTTCCTTCATTGAATCTAATACTCTAACTTCTTAGTTGTTCATAACTCCAGTATCATTATTTATATCAGCTTTAGCTAGTTACTCAGAGTCTTAGTTGGAAGAGGGAATAGACCAGCAGGTTATCTGTCCGACACCATCTTCCAGAACACCAAAATTATTTTTCTATACCAACCAAACCAAATCAGTTGAAATAGAGTTTATTCCAACTCATGTTGACCCCATATGTTATAGGGTAGAACTATACTCCATAGGGTTTTCAAGGCAGTGAACTTTTGGTGGCTAATCTTGACTCACCTCTTCATTAGTAGTCAAGTGTTTAACTGCTTAATGGTTTGTGCCACCCACGGACTCCTATTTATCAAAAGGGATTGTAAATTATTTAAGAGAAGTGTTTTTATTTTGTGTATCTTTGTTTTTAATCCTGTAACACTTGATCTGACCTTTATATGTTAATAAGTCTCAATAAATAATGATTAGTGTAAGTTATAATGTATCAATTTTAGTTACCTTTCCATAGAATTAAATGATTTATATCCTTCTTTTGCTTAGTTTCAGCCCCTGGCCTCCAGTAAGATCCTGATGACTGGAACCTGTATAAGAGAATGAAGTCTAGTCATTTTCCTCTAATGAAACAAACAAACATAAGCTTGTTATTTGTCATCTTTTTCTCTTTGTTGCTCTGAAGGGTGTGTTCCTTGACAGTGCTATGGTTCTGCTTACTACGAGCCTCAGTCAGGCCTTGTGTCTCCAGCCTGATGGGAGCTGCACAGGAGTGGGGAGTCAGTCTGAAAAATCCTACTGGAAAGTACATAAAATCAGCTCTGGGATTTGCATGTTTGAAAGTGTGAAGAATGCACGGATGTATCTGAGGATTAAGGATAGCCAGTGTGATGGAACAGTAAGCATCTGCTCATATTTTTCTTAACAAATGTTTAAGAAATTTTCCAGTAATAGACATGAAAATGGCACTTTTTGAGTGATTTGCTTTTTAGTTTTATTACATGTACATACCAGAAAATGGATTTTATATGAAATGATCTACCATGACTGGCAACTTTAATTATTAGAGTCAGTACTCAGACTTGGTATGGTGAGTGGGGTTTCCCCACCTCTAGCACATTGCTTTCCAAACATTAATGTGCGTATAAGTTACCTGGGAATTGTTTTAGAAAGTAAATTCTAATTCAGAAAGACTTGGGTAGGGCCTGAATGTCTACATTTCTAACAAGTTCCTAGCTGTTGCTGATGAGACTGATCCATGAAACATACTTTGAGAAGTCAGAATTTAGAAGGTTCCAACTCAACAAAACAAAAAACCAAACTCACTGCTGTCAAGTTGGATCTGACTCATAGCGACCCCTCCTTGGGTTTCTGCGGGGGTATCATTACAGAAGTAGATTGCCTAATCTTTTTTACAAAGAGTGGCTGATAGGTTTGAACCTCCAGCCTTCTGGTTAGCAGTAAAGTGCCTTAGGCACTATGCCACCAGAGCTCCTTAAGGTGGCCCAGATAACCTGTAATGCCTTAGAATGAACAAACGTATGAGGTTCCCTTCTATGATGGAGAATGTCTGGGCTCACTCCCAGGCTTCTGAGTAGTACATCTGGGGCTACAGACTTAACAGTATTTCCTTAACAGTGTCTTTGGGTGCCTGAATTTCCACCATAGGAAACCCTGTAGTCTGAGTAAGGAAATAATTTTAAAATTTAAATTCTATATTTGAGAAATCATTCTTCAACATCTGAAAACTCAGGGGGGGGATTGGGGCAGGTAACATAACATTTTGTATGAATTCATTATTCTGTGAGGGAAGGTGTAGATAAGATTGCCTAATTAAAATGGCCTATTACTATATTTTTTATCAAATAACACACCCATGTTCATAATGTACCCACATGTATTATGAGCAGAAATGACAAAATTATGAAAAATATTTCTGGTATAGCATGCCCATACATACACTGTACATATCTTTTGACATTTTGAGAGTGAATTTTGTCTTCATTCATCCTTATTCAATAGTCTGAAAATGTTACTTTTGACCATATTTGTGTAGTAAAGTTATAAGCCATGGGCAAGGAGTCATGGATCAGATTTGGTAGTACCCTAGTAATCATAATGAAAATGGTGGAGTTCCTTGTAGTTTGTCTGTGCCCAGGTATGTAGTGCCAGAGAAGGGCAGCAGGTCAAGCATAGGGCTATGTGTGGGTCTGCAACAGCTTGAATAGGGTTTGGTCTGTGGCAAGCAGGGGCCATTGCCTGTGAACATCTGGATCCCATAGTGCCAGCCCCCCCATGGCAGGGCAGTGTGAATGTGGGCACACACTTCCCTGACCCCACAGAGCCCTGGGGCAGCCAATCAGACCTGTTTCTTCTGATTGAGGGATGCATAACCCCCCTCCCCCCACACCCACAGCTTTCATGCCCATCCTGTGGCATCCACTTTGGTGGGAGAGCCAAATATCTCAAGTGCAACAGCCTGCCAGCTGGGTGACAGGATAGAATGTGTGCAACTGCAGTGCACCAGCCTCATTCACCTGAGTGGCCTCTCCAGCACAAGGCACCCAGATTTTCACACCTTCTGGGCTGGGGCTGGCTGCCCTGACCAGGGCTGTTTCTAGGGTCAAAAATTGATTTCTTCCTGCATTGGAGGAAGCTATTTGCAAAACAGTGAGGGAACCCTGCCAGGAGAGGGGCTGCTTTAAAAACACAAGGGTAGGTGGAAAGATGGCTTTGTACTATAACCTGCACATTTGTTGCCTTCACCAACTTAATCCCTAAATAACTAGATAAACAATAACAAAACAAACAAACAAAAACTCATTTCACTGCCATTGAATCAATTTGACTCATAATGACCCTTCCTTGGGTTTCAGAGGCAGTATTTCTGTGGAAGTAGATTGCCCAATCTTCCTTTTGAGGAGTGGCAGGTGGGTTTGAACCACCAGCCTTCTGGTTAGCAGTCAGGTGCTTTAGGCACTATGCCACCAGAGTGCTCTTAAATAGGTAAAGCAGGTAGAAATAATGATACTGGAGTTATGAGCAACTAAGGAGAAGATAAAATATCAGACTTAGTGAAGCCAGAGAAAAAGAGCAGATTAAACAATTGGGGAAAATAAATGGACCTACCTAGCTGGCAGAGACAGAGAGATGAAGAAAGAGAGAACTCATTAGAAATATAATAGAGGTCAGCAGAGTGGGAAAAAAATCACGGAACCCACAGAGGCACTGGAGACTCAGCATACCCACACCAGGAGTTTTTTTTGTGGAGACTTTGGGAGCTGAGTGAGACAATCTTACTGGGAAACAGATCAAGGACCACTCCCCCCCTTGGCTTGGGCTGCCACGGAGTCCAGGAAGGAGTGGGGGAAAGGGAGAAACTCCTTCTGAGTAGGCTGAGCCCTGGAGCAATTTCATAGCAGTGGACTAGAGTTCAGCTCTTCCACAACCCCTGTTTAGAACAGAGTGGACTGAGGTACAGGGTTTTGTGGCTTGTCAATCCAAGTGGAAAGTGGTGCCCCTGTATCCTTTGGGTAGAGGGTCTTTTATTGACAGTTGGATGTCATCATTAGTAGATGTCTCAAGAAGAGACAAATTATACAGCCTGTGCCAGCAGTGCTGACTGAAGTCTTGCCCAAACACAGAAAATGGGGACTCATTACTGTCACCTTTCTTTTTCCCACTTTTTCCTCTTCCCCACTGCATTATCCAATAGAAGGAATACATTACACTGACACCAGGAAGCAGGAGTTATTACATTAAATACCTCATCCAATAGGTAACACCAATAACTCCTGTGCCACAGAATCAATGACAGATGATGGATAACACCTACTCATCCCAACTCCAAATCCTCTTCACCCACATCCCCACCAGTGATTCCACCAACATAGAGAGAACTGCACCCACATCCCCACCAGTGATTCCACCAACATAGAGAGAGCTGGCGAGCAACCCAGTACAGCCAGGTTAATAACCCAAAAAGTACACCTGCTCCATAATTTCAGATATAGTAAAACATAAAATCAGGTTGAAACAAATCAATACATACTAACAATTAAAGACAACAACTTCAAAATGTCTAGGAAACAGCAGACAACCTTAAATCAAACAAACAAACAAAACAAAAAACAAGACAATAGAAATAAATGCTGAGGCTGAAGAATTATCAATCATGGAAGAAGAACAAGCAATACAACTATCTGAGAAGGCTAGAACTCTCAAAGAGCTCAAGAAAAACACAAAAAGGATCAACAAGATGAATTCAAGAAAATAATCCAAAAGCAAAATAACAAGATAAATACACAAGTAGAATTCATACAAAAACAGCAAACAGAAATCCAGAAGATGAACATTTAAAATTACAGAGATAGAAAACACAGTGGAAGGACAAAAGAGTAGACTAGAACTGGCTGAAGAAAGCATTTCCCAGCTGGAAGACAAATCTCTTAACACATGGCTGTATGAAGAAGAATCAGAACAAAGATTTAAAAGAAATGAAGAGAACCTAGTTGTTATATGGGATGACATGAAAAGGAAAAACATACACCTCATTGGAATACCAAAACAAGAGGAGAAAAAAAAAGAAAAGGCACACTGATAAAATTGTGGAAGACTTGGTAACAGAAAATTTCCCTCATATCATGAAGGAAGAAAAAAAAATCCACCCAAGAAGCTCAACTAACTCCATACAGGATAGATCCCAAGAGAAAGTCACCGAGACATATCATAATCAAACTCTCCAAAACCAAAAACAAAGAAAGAATCTTGAAAGCAGCTTGGGAAAAAGGAAATGTCACCTACAATGGACAACCAGTAAGACTAAGTTCTGATTTCTCAGCAGAAACTATGCATGCAGAAGGCAATGGGATGGCATATATAAAACACTGAAGGAAAAGAACTTTTAACCAAGCATCATATATGTAGCCAAATTGTCCCTCAAATATGAGGGTGAAATCAAGACAGTTTCAGACAAACAGAAATTAAAGGAATTTGTGAAAACTAGACCAACCCTACAAAAAATGCTAAAGCGAGTCCTTCTAATAGAGAACGTACAGCACACAACAGCAAATTAAAATCAGGACATTTGACATCACCACCTAGAAACCAAACCAGAAATAGATGCTCAATATAAGCTCATAAAATAACGAACACAGAGAAATAAGGGTTTCAATCTGCAGACGACACCAGCAACAAAGAAAACAAAGGGGATAAAAGTTCTAATTACAAAACTTCCAAATGGAGAGAAAGACAGGACGATGTCTTTATAGAACAGACTATTCCAAACTTAGGAAGACAAGAATTTACTTCAGGGTAAGTACAAAGAAAATTAATTGTCCCCCTAAGCAAACTCAAAAAGAAGAAAAGCACATGGGCTGAGTAAGCACAAAACCAACAAAAATGAAGGAAAGAGTAGAAAAACCTGAAATCAAAATGAGCTCAGCACAGAAAAATATATGGAGCAAGGAAATCAGCAACAACACAACAAAAAATACAATAGAATGACAGCAATTAATTCATACTATCACTAATTACACTCACTGTGAATGGACTAAATGTACCAGTTAAGAGAAAGAAAATGGCAGATTGGAAAAGAAAAGACCCACTGATATGTGTCCTACAAGATATCCACTTTAGACACAAAGATAAACACAAATTAAAAATTAAGGAGTGGAAAAAACATGCCAAGCTAATGGTAATCAAAAAAGAGCAGGAGTGGCAAAATTAATTTCTGATAAGAAAAGACTTCAAGGTGAAAAATAACATAAGGGGCAAAGAAAGAAACTATATCATACTGAAAGAGTCAATTGACCAAGAAGACATCACCATAATAAATATCTATGCACACAATGAAATCCTCCAAAATACATGAAGCAAATATTAACTGAATTGAAAGGA